AGGTGAGGATGACAGCGTAAGTCAACATGAAGACCTGCTCACCTATAAACACACTGACTCATCTCTGTGGGCGCTGTTGTGGTTTTTAGATGGAGGCTAAAGTGGTGATGGCCAAACTGCTCCAGAGGTTTGACTTCACTCTTGTGCCGGGACAGACCTTTGACATCCTGGATGCTGGAATGCTCAGACCTAAGAGTGGAGTAATTTGCTCTTTCGCTCACAGGGAATAAAAAGAATAAATGGCCATAAAGCACCAATACATTAGAAGAGGTCATAGTAGTCTATAGAGTAAAACTGGGCTTTTATTCATATCTAAAACTGTCACTTAAAAAAGAAGAAGAAAACCTTGTAATGAAAACAATAATGGTGTGATTTAAATACATAGCATATTCATATGAAGTTATGTCGTGTTTTTTATTTATTACAATAATGAATATAAAACTACTTGTTGGCCAACAGGGAGTCTGTAGAAACTGTGCTGCTGTTGGCTGAAGACAAAGGAAGAGTAAAAGGGGAAGGTATGTTTGGAGGCAGAGAGAGAGAGAAGGTAGGAGTGTGGAGGTGAGAGTAGGAACTTAAAATGTAGGGACTATGACTGGTGGAGGTGGTGTGACAGAAGAGGATCCTAGGGATGGAATGAGGTGGAGGCAGATGGTCTGGAAACTACTAAAGGAAGCAGGAAAAAGAAGAGGAAGAAATCCTTTCTGATGCAACAACAAAAGGAGTCGTGTGTCTGTGCGAATGACCAGATCTTTTGCTTGATAGGCAAATGTGTTAACCACTACACTTCAGAGCCACCCATTACAATAGTCAGTATATAGAAACATTTCTGAGGGGCACTGGTCTCTAAGGTATTGCCATTTGTTACTTTTATACACTGCTGATATATATTTTTTAGTTTATATTATGTAGTTGCTTTTTCATAGCCATTGAACCACAGAAGCTTTAGTGTCTGTAACTAATTTAAGCACAGGTTTTATGTAAATGAAAATAAAACTGAAACTTTAATGTTTGTCAGTGTGATGTTATTTGTGTTTGCGGTGTAGTGATTTCTTATGTACCCAACTTGCTCTTTTAATGCAATTACCAACAGTGTACACATGGGGGCGCTAAGCTCCTGCACAGAAACCTGACTTAAAGCAGAGGCAGCACAACAACAGCTGCAAAACACGATCAAGACTATCGATTAAAATGTTATCCAATAAAACATCAGTTTTATTAAACGATTCAAAATCACAGATATAAAACAAACACTCAATATACCTACAATATTGATCGATTTCCCCGCGCGCAGTCGATCTAGAGCTTGATTGATTCCTCCATTAAAACTCGTGTTCACACTAATAAGTCCAGCAGCACGCATTAAAAACGGGCACCTACCATAATAAATTATTAGATCTGCAGACTGCAGATCTAATAATTAATCTCCAAAGGTCTGGAACTTCCCACAGAAGACCACTGACCTCCCCTCACACACCCACTACCTTTTAAAGCTCCTGGGCCAATCACACGGCAGAAGTCAGCGAACTGTCAAGGGACACTTGTTACGCACCTTTAACACGGACGTCTCCGGGACATTTTCCAGGATGGCACTTTCCAGCCTGCTTCTGAGCCTGGCTGCTCGGGCACTTACGTTTCTCTTCTTTCTGCTCGTCATTGCGTTTCTTGGCTACTGCTTGTACATTAAATACATTCATATGAAGTATGACCACATCCCCGGGCCGCCGAGGGACAGGTAGGAAAGGTCGTCGGCTGAAGCAGTTATGCGGACGTTACTTGAGAGTAACTCGCTGTTTCCTCCTCAGTTTTTTCTTCGGACACTCACCAACGATGTTGAAGGCGATGAAAAATGACGGAATTATACACGACAGATTTCTGGAGTGGTAAAAAAAAACGATGTTTTTATGAAGAAAAATGGGGTTAGGGGATAAATTTCTGCCTATATAACAAATACATTGCAGTTCTTACTGTACTCTTTGTATTACAGTATTAATATCATTCGCCTTTAAAAGATCTAATTAAGATGTCACCTGCAGGGCCGAGAAGTATGGACCTGTTTACAGGATAAATATGCTTCACTACGTTTCACTGTGTACGTACTGTCCAGAGGCCACCAAGGTAAACACTTGTCACCTGACTGTTTTCACATCAGTACACAGGTGTCAGTAATAAAGGGTCTATTTCTGTAAATCTGTGAATTATTGTGATTAGCAGTACCTGTGTATCTCTGCTGTTTCAGTTTAAAATGACTACAGTGCAACAAACCTGTTGTGTGTGAAAGTGCACCCATCAATCCTGTTGGCAGAGGTCCCTGCTAATAAACAGTGCCAGCTACTGGCCTTTTGGGGACTTGTTCACATTTAAAGCCCTCTTCTTCTTCTTCTTCTTCTTCTTTGTCAGAATTTTGTGTCATTTTGTTTCTGGTTTCAGGAAATCCTGATGTCCCCAAAATACCTTAAAGAGAAGTTTGCCTATAAAAGACTCTTCAACCTGTTTGGTCAAAGGTGATGTATCACATTATCTGTTTCTTTTAGTTATATAGTTGTGGTCAGACTTTCATTCCGTCATCATGGGCATGAATGTCATGGTAATTTTGGGCTTTTGTATTTATATAACCATCCGTTATCGTTCCAACTAAATGAAACTCAGCAATATAAGCTATAGCTCTTTTGCACACATCTGTTTCAAATCTCCATATTTTGTCTCCGTTTCTGTCTTCAGCTATTTATTTGTACTATTTGTATTTATATGTTCTACTTCTATTGTGTATATATTAATCGGCATCTGTGGGTGGACAGCAAAGAAAGAATTTCATTGCACAAAGAAATGCCTTTCTCTTGTGACACATGACAATAAACACTTTGAATCTTGAAGTATCTTACCATGTTGTGTACCTATGCTAGCAGTAATATAACTGTGAAAATAATAGAAAGCATGCTTTGTGACAGTGTAATGAGTGAAAATCATATTTTGCTATGTTTAATTCTCCTGTTGCTGTTTTTTTTGGGTGGGTTTCAGGTTCTTTGGAAATGGTCTGATAACAGCACGAGATCATGAGCAGTGGTACAAACAGCGACGCATCATGGACCCTGCGTTCAGCAGCCTGTGAGTTATGAAATTATAGCAACGTGCCAGAAAGAAGTGTCTGCTGAGCTACCTGTTTATGTTATGTTTATCCAGTATTTACAGTCATACTGGATATAAATCAGTGTTGTTGATAATCCTTTAGTCGCTGTGCCTCTGTCTCAAACCTTTTTTTCCCAGGTATCTGAGAGGTCTAATGGGAACCTTCAATGAGAGGGCAGAGAAACTGATGGATAAACTTGCAGAGCTTGCTGACAGTAAAACAGAAGCTAATATGCTCCATCTTCTCAACTGTGTCACCCTGGATGTTATTAGTAAGGTATCATAGTCAGTTTTACAGATGCAACGTGTTTTTTTTTTTTTTTTTTT